TGATGAAGCTAGAGCTGTACGTAATGACAGGTGTTCGGAAGGCAAATTTGATGCTGAATATGAATCCAGATAGTGAGCTAGAGAATATCTTGCAAAAATATCCAAAACTTTTCGACGATGAACCAGGAAGTTATCGACATGGAAAAGTGGAGCTACGACAGATTGCCCATAGCTTGAAGGAAAAGGTCGATGCCCAGCTAGAATCCCTAGAACGAAAAAGGAACCATTACTCGCATCACTACAAGCGATTGGGGAACTCCATTGGTGCCCATACTCAAGGCTGATGGAACAGTGCGTATTTGCGGTGATTATAAGGTCACTCTCAATCGATTCCTCGAGGACTGCAAGCATCCAATTCCAAGGATAGATGAGTTGCTATCCCAGTTGCAAGGTGGGTATAAATTTTCGAAATTGATCTACGAGATGCATATAATCAACAAGAGCTAACTGATGAGTCTAAGCAGATATGTACTTGGAGCACCCACCATCTACCGAGTAAACAAAATGACTTTTGGAATATCTCCTGGAACTTCTATATTTCAAGGGATCATGGAACAGCTGCTGCAAGGCGTTGAGGGTGTCGTTGTCTTTATCGACGACATAATGGTAACTGGAAAATAGGGAGTCACAGATGAAGAAAAAATGGCCAACCATTTGGAGAACGTAGAAAAGGTGCTTCGAATACTCTCAGATGCGGGATTGAAGGTAAAAAGGGACAAAATCTCATACTTGGGATTCACCATTGAACACCATGGTCTCCACAAATCGTTTCAGATGGAACAGAAAATCATCAATCTTGACGAGCCAAAAAAAGGTTCATGAGGTGAGGCGTCTTTTGGGAATCGTGTCGTTCTATTCGCGATTCATCCCACATATGGCCTCGGTAATGGCTCCAATATATGCACTCACTCGCACCAAGGGAAGCCGAGAAAAATTTCTGTGGACCGAAGACTGTCGAGCAGCTTGGAAAAAGATAGTCGATGTATTCAAAGGAGACATAGCTCTAGCGCACTTCGATCAACAGTTACCTTCTATAACCGAAACTGACGCTTCGGATGTCGGAGTGGAAGCTGTGTTACTGCAGAGGCAACCGGATGGGTATGAACGACCTTGTTACTTCGTTTCCCGTGCGCTAACCGATACTGAAAAAGGCTACAGCGTGATAGATAAGGAAGTATTGGGTGTAGTATATGTACTGAAGAAATTTTACCCATACGTTTATGGTACAAAAGTCACTATAAGGACATCGGCCCCTGTTAGGAATACTGGGTGAAAATAAGGAAATACCAGTATTTTGTAGTCGGCGTTTGCAACGATGGGCACTTTCCATGGCAGCTTTTGATTAAACGTTGGAGTACGTCAAACGAGACAAATCACTCGGCGGATCATCTTTCGAGGAACCCGAATCAAAAACAAGAGTTGGAGATCGAAAACGAGGAAGAAGCAGCAAGTGTGCATTTTGTTGTGGGAGCAGGTCTCAACGTTGTGTCTGCGGATGAGTGTGGCCCAGAAAACTATCGTCTGAAGGAGAGCTTCAGAAGTGCTTCGCAGTTCGGGAGAAGCTGATTAGAAGTGATGGAGTGATATTGCATGGTGACCGTTTGGTAATGCCTTCACTTCTTCGGAATAGAATCTTGAATGAGCTACACCAGTCTCATCAAGGTGCAGTTATGACGAAGAGTTTTGCCCGTTAATTCGTATGGTGGCCTTCTTTAAACGCAGATATCCATCAGCTTCTCGAAAACTGCATGTCATGCAGTAAATTTAGGAGTTCACCGCCGAGAACATCGTCACCGTGGCCTGAAACGAAACATGTATTTGAGAAGATACATCCGGATTTCGCAGGTCCAATTCGAGGTCGGTACCTGCTGATACTCGTAGACACGTTCACAAAATGGATAGAAGTATTCGTGATGAGTAGAATAACTACCGAAGCTACTATTAAATGTTTACGATCAAAATTTGCCAGCTTTGGGCTACCTGTTCTCGTTGTCAGTGATAACGGACCACAATTCACGGCATCGTAGTTTAAGAATTTCCTGCAGGTGAATGGGATACAGCACATGACTTCACCCGTAGGTCACCCTCAATCAAACGGAGCGGCTGAAAATGCTGTGAAATTAGTAAAGCTGGCCCTAGACAAAATTTTGGCAACGTAAGGTGACATGATGGTTGAGGACGCAATTGTGAATTTCTTGATGGTGTACCGCAATACTCCTCACTGCACCACACAGGAGACACCTTCACAACGAATGTTCGGGAGAAAGGTAAACCTGAGACTAGACTTGGCCTCTGTCTGATCCTGTTAAAGACCACCGTATTATTATTATTTTCGCTCTTGGGTCATTCGTGACTTGTACGGGGGTGAGCTTTGAACTCGTGACTTTGGCGTGAGAGGTATGGATGCTAACCACTACGCCAAGGTCACCCCCCCTCCCTCCAAATACTTGGTATTAACTGAAGAGCAGCAAATATGGAAACGTTATATAAATCAGCTGTACAAACTGTCAGGTCAGCAGGACGATACCACAGAGAACAGACATGGAGGCTCGAACAAAATTTCTCTAAAAACTTGTGTAAAGATTCCTATTCGACTTAAGCGCCACTAACGGCGACTTCCCCACTTAAAAACCCTCTTTGACAACATGATGGCGCTGGCGTTGCACAAATTACACTAGACACTAAGTGCTAGTAGCGCCAAGTGGCAATTTTCAACAGAACATTTATCGATACTAGCGCCAAATTGGTCGAAAGTGGAAAATTTATAGAGAAAATCAGGAGATGCTAACACCACGTAACGGCGACGTTCCCACTTATTTTACACAAGTTTCTGACCGAACTTGAACGTCTGTTCTCTGTGACGATACCACACAACAAGCATTGGGCGATCCCAACAATTCGTCGATTTTACCTAGAAGATCTAACCGGATTAAGGAAAGAAAAGAACGTTTGAAAGATTGCAAATGACTTGTTGCAATCTTGGAGGAGCCTATGTTGTGTAATAGCATTTCTTTAAATAATTAACCGTCAATTTGAATAGCTTTCGAATGAACTAAATTTCTTGTATTTCTTGCCATATGCACTTTGGAAGTAGAGTATAAGAAAACTGAATAGGGTTAAAGACCCCATTTCCGGTATATCAGACACAATCCGCACTTAGTCTTTCTTAATCTAGCGCAGTTTAACACCAAACGGAATGTTATTGTTATTGATGGCTTCCAAATTTATTTACCTTTCCGTACGTACCAAAAGATTTGATAAAGAGAAACCAATCGTTGAGATATTGTCAAAAGTCCAACACTGCTTCTTGACGCCAAACTCGGCCTACGGATTCTAAATTCGGCCTAACGCATTGAAACGCCATTGAAATGCAAATGAATTCACTTCGGCCTATCGGATGAAGATAAAAATTGATTCGTTCGGAGCGCTTCTTTTGTTTTTGAGAATAATAGGTGCAAATCTTCATATCACGCGTTCTCATTGACTTCGTTCGGTAGCTTATTAACTAAAGTATCGTACCAAATGCATAATTAAATTGTTATCTCTGAAATCATGGATTTATTTGAAGTTTTCTGCTCGATAAGCCCACAATGGCCGATTAGGCCGAAGTAGTTCTCTACCCTAAATGGATTAGTCTTGAATTGTAAGTTAACTGATATACTTCTTAGTCCGTACACTAAAATAAATCGTTAGTTTTATGTTAGTTACCACTAAACATAGAACTTTTCAAACCTGGAACGTATTTAGTTTATTTTTTTTAATTGTTAAATGTATTTGGACTGGTCTCACCATGTTAATTTGATCCTTCAATCCATGGGTTCCGTAATTTTGATTTTCTCTAAGCTTTGCATCTCATTTCATGATGCACCTTTGTCGTAATACATCCTGTAACGAATACAAATGTTCTTCCATGGTCATCTGGGAGGAAGTTCACGGCCACAAACTGCCACTCGTCCAGTCTTGGGCGTATCCAGCGAGGCATCTTTCATATTGCTCGCAATCTCCGACACCGGACACATTATCAACACGTTCCCGGACTAATTCACCAACCGGACCGATCTCTCAATAGAACTACACGCCGAAAGTGTAGCATCTGAACTCGGAGAACCGGGCTCCCGAAGGTAATCAAAATTGACACCGAACAATGGAACTCAAGCTGCGTCGTATATTTTGGAGGTTAGCTTCAAGATCAACCGAGCCACTCAAGGCAAACTCGGGCAAAACACGATACATCACTAAATGATTACTTTATGAACATTTGAAACTAAATTTCAGTACTCAAATTAACAAATTTAAAGCCGAAACGTGTTTAATTCGCTTACGAAAAATACACAGCAAAAGAAAACCACGTCAGCTTTCAAGCGCGGCCTACTGCAATCGATGCAGCGAAGGTTACGACTCTTGTCACTTAAAATCGTCACTTCAGTACGACTTTTGTCACCGAAAAACGACTGTGTGAATAAGGTGAGAGTTCATCGGTTTCATCCCAAGTGACTTGTCTCACCTCACTCGCCAGTTGGAATTGGGTGACACAAGTGACTCGTGGCACCTCACCTCATTCGCCACGCAGAATAACTCTGATTAATAAAGAAATATATGGAAAACTCGATTTTAATATTTTTGATAAGCATAAGGCACTGTTTGGGAAAACTCTAGAGCACGTATCTCATGTGTGAGTTTATTAGCCGATGAGTTTTGTTTTGCAAAATTAAATTGCACAAAAATCACCGATGAGTTTTTAGGCTTAAACATTCACTGTATATTTTGGCGTTTTTCACTAAACCACTAATGCTCTTAAACACCTAATTAATCTCTCTGAAAATTTAAGATCTTATGGCCGATAAACTTGACTATTAATTGTAAATATTTTTGAATTCATTCAGAACAGACACATCCTGCTATATCTCAAACAAAAGTCTTAGACTTCTCACCAAAACATCCAGCACTTCAGCCCTCAACAATGATAATTATAACATATTCTTCTTCTTTCCCATCCGCAGGGTTTTCCACGACGATACCGGGCTACCCGCGCTACTCGGTGCTCGGTGACCGGAACTCGGGCGTCTACAACCTCAAGATCTCCAACGCATCGCTGGAGGATGACGCCGAGTACCAGTGCCAAGTGGGGCCGGCCAAATTCAACTCGGCCATCCGTGCCAACGCCAAGCTGATTGTGATATGTAAGTATTGTGTGTCGTCATGGGAAAATGGAAAATCGCTTCCATGTGCAGGAAAATTTACGACTTTTGCACACACTCGCCTCAAGTGAAACGATGAACGATCCCGTCTCTTCTTTTTTTTTTTCTTCCCCTCGAGAAATTATACGGCTCCAACAGATGTCGCCAAATATAACCCTTCTCCATTTCACTCGCTCAACCAGTCTCTGTCTCTCTCGCTGGCGCAGCTTTTCAAAGTGACATTTTTGAATACGTACTACTTTTTTGCCGCCCCACTTTCCCTCCCCCCCCCCCATCGGTTTCCACTGCGAACAGCAGAAACTTTCCTGACTGCCAAAATTTATCATCGTTTTTGGTAAATGGTCCGAAAGAAAGTTTTTCCTGTCCGCTTTTCCGGACGATGACGACGACAACGACGACGACGTCAGGATTTGCCATAGTACTACAATGTGAACCAACCCAGCACAAAAGCGCAGTAAATTAATCAACTTCAGTCGTCGTCGTTGTCGCCAACGACGCCACCGGCTAATGTATGTGTGTGTGTGTCAGTATATGTGTGTGCATGGCTTTTCAAAGATCCAAAACCCTCGGGAAAATCCGAACAATTACAGTTGGATTTGTTAACACTCTGATGAGCGAGAATGAGCCCGAGAAAGTTTCGAGCTCATTCCGACTGAGTTCTCGCTTCAAGGAACGAACAATGGTATGCCCCCCCCCCCTCCCCCTTTCCATGTGGCGAGATGGCGATGATGATCAGGCTATTCTCCAGTCAAGTCACATGTGACGATATGGAAACTAATGTAATATGCTTGTCCACAATACGCTTGTTCCGGCTCTAACTCGGAGGTTACTGACAGATAAGGATTAGTTTTTTACGGGCTAAAGGGAGTTTCTGCAGCAGTGTCCAAATTCTATTCCAACGAAAAGTTTCAATGATCCAGAAACGTGCCCAGAGTATTGCGCCAAAAATTGATACCATTGTCATTAATAAAATAAAATTCCTCATGCGTGGCACACACAGTATCACTTGCCGGGGACTATAATGTTTCGAATGGAAATTGTTTCATAATAAACGGCGGACTCACAATCACTCACAATTTTCGCCGGATGGAAACACGGACACAGTAGCGCAAACATAAACATGATAAGTTTCAAATTTGTGCTAGGGAATAATTGCATTTTATGAGTGCAAGCAAAACATCGACTGGGGAGGGGAGCGGGGAAATTTGGCGCAGCAGGGAGGGAGGGAGGAAAGCTGTTTCATAATGGGTAAAGTGCCTGATTTCGCATAAATTTTCGGCAGTGAACCGTAGCGTCATTAACCGGAGTGGTGCCAGCTACTGGGGTGGGTCTAAAACCTTCTGGCATTCTGGATTTTGAAAATTTGTTTTTGATGTTTAAGAAAACTGGAATGCGGGAAGTATTTGGGGGAAAATCAGCTGATTTGAGAAATTTACTAAAATATAAGTACGATAGGAAGACAACCTTTGTGAAAGGGTTTTTTTTTTTGTAGGTGTATGTAATGTCGGCCTAAATGGCTCTAACTTGGGTCCGTACATACTAAAGTCCATACATCAACTAAATTTTCAATAGCGACCATAAATATCCATTAGTATCGTCCCAATGACACGTTCATCAAGATAAAATTCATAAATATCAGATTTTTAGCGATGGGCCCAATCTTAGATCCATAGGCGAACATTAGAGCCATTTCCCCTAAAATAAAAATTTGAGAAGCAAAAGTTTAGGCAAAGTTATTAGGAGTGAGAAGCATCCAAAATACAAAGAAAATGGAAATGATAAGTCATAAATAAAAGGTGAAGAGTGAAACATGTGTAATGATTTAACATCACGCATGTGAGCCCCTGAAATGTGACAAGTAAGACATTGTAAAGTGAGAAGTAGGCAATGATTAGTTAGATATTTAAACTAATTTCTAAATAGTGCTGAGTGAGAAATAAAAGTTTGACGAAAAGTAATTGGTCGAACGATGATTAAATGGATATAATGGATAAAAGTGAAAACCTTTAGAAGATAAGTAAGTAATGAAAATGCGAAGTGCGAAATGAAAAATTATGAGTGAAATGAGAGACGAGAAATTAAAAAATATATATATGAGACGAATGAGGAATAAAATGTAAGTAACGAAGACTTAAAATGTTTCAAAAACAATAAATCGTGTAGCTTGATCGATTTCGCTTCGAAATTTTACATTTAAAAATCTTAAAGGCTGACTAAAAGTAAAATGGTACCCACAAAAAGACCTGTAATTCGTGATTCAATTAGTTAAAAAAAAAGTCCATTAATGGTTGCTTTACAGTACTTTTATTAAAACTTCAAAGTTACAGCATTTGTTGGTTACATTTCTTCAGTTCGAACGAAATCTCGAACCTTCCACTTGATGCAGCCCATCGGCGTCCGCACAATGGAAACGGACACAAAATCAGCGCATTTCTCCCATTTTGCCTGCATTTGCTGGATTTCCTTGACTGCCCTGCCGCTTCGTCGAAGTCGCTGCTTTGAAATCGCCCAGTATTTTTCGATTGGTTGAAATTCCGGGCAATTTGGAGGATTCATTAGCTTAGGGACAAAATCGATCTTGTTGGCAGCATACCACTCCAGAACTATGACTTTACCCCTATGCTTGCGGATGAACTTCAATACACGCTTTATGAGGCATTCTTCGATATAAACTTGGGATTTCATCGTCGGGGATGTAACGAATGGTTCCGTTTTCAGGCCACAACTGCAAATCACTAGCCAAATCATGGCCTTCTTCGTGAACCTGTCGGTAAACATGAACTCGAATCTTCCCGGCACATCCCCTCGTCACGACGCGATGTAAAATTTTTGAACGGGAAGCTGCTTAAAATCTAGTTTGACGTATGTTTCGTCATCGTTCAAAGTGCAGCCCTTGTGTTTCGTCAAAACACGGTCGTACAAGAGCCTTGCACGCTTTTTCGCCACGGAATTCTGCTTCATGTGCCGGTTTGGATGATAACTGGTTTTGTACGACTTGTATCCTTCCCTGGCAAGGATGTTCCGCACCGTTTGAAAGCTGGCGTTGTACCTTCTGGTCATATCTCGGATTGAAAGACCAGGGTTAGCTTTAACGCACCTCAAAACCTTGCTGCGCAGCTGACAATCCCTGGTTCCAGTTTTTTTGTAGGTCCACTGATCATTGGCGTAGCTAGACAATTTATCTGGAGGGGGCCTAGATAATTCTGAAGGAAGCCTAAATAATTCTGGAGAGGGGCCTAGATAATTCTGAAGGGGGCCTGGCCCCCCTGGCACCCTCATTAGCTACTGCCACTGATTCCTTTCAACACTCAGGGTTTCTTTGTAGGTTTTGAGTACTCGACAAACTGTTGTTTTCGGCATCTCCAGCACTTTAGCCAGTTTGAAACCGGACCACTCCGGATTTTCCAGGTGTTTGGGCACAATATTTTTTCTTCTTTCGAGTTCCATTTGACGTTATCTCTGAACGCGATCGACTACTTTGATCAAACTTGCACCAGTTGTTCTCTATAGAAGTGTAACCACTGTCAAAGATTTTCGATTCCCAACACAAGAGGCGTGCTAGCGGCGCGTGAGGGGCTTAATTTCAAGAAAATAGCATGAACCAGTAAGAAGATAGGAAAATTCATACATATGTAGCTCAAATAACTGCAATAAAATTTAAGAATCCACACAGAAGTTCCGAGAAGCTCATGGAAGTACTAAAGTAGAACTTAAGGATAGTTTGACGATCTTTAGGGGAGTTCCATTCATGTCAGGGCAATTTCAAAAACATTCGCTTGAGAATAGCGAAAACTTCATTGAAGTTCGGTGAATTTCAGGAAAGATTATAGATCTTCAGGGCAGTCCCATTAACTTCACGATTTTTTTAGGAACTTAAATAAAAGCTCACAGGTATGACAAAATGAAGCATCCACAAACAAACTGCAGGAACATATGGATACTTTAAGAAACTTTTGGAACATTTTGCGGAACTTCATGGATCTTGAAAACCCTACGGAAGTCAAGAGAACCTCAGAGATGTAGAGATAATTTGGGGAAAATTGTGGAACCTTTTAAGAAGTTCCGAGTACCTATGAGAAGCTAGGCTAGAGAGCTGTAGATCATTTTGAAGATCTTAAGGACAGTTCCAATAACTTTAGGGAACTTCCGAAAACTTATGTCTTTCAGGGAAGTTTAAAAATCTGTCAGTGTAAGTTTCGACAGTTATATGTATGTCATGGAAATACCAAGAACTTCAATAGAATTGAGGGAAGCTCCGAGAACATAGGCACAGATCAGTGAAGCTAAGAGCAATTCAAATGATATCAAGGAAACGTTTAAGAAGTTCAAAAGAAATCATATAATTTCGAACATCGTTCCAAGAGCTTCATTTAAATTTCAGAAACGTGAGGAGTTACATGAACACATTGTTGGGAAAATATCATAACATCAAATCTCACCAATGCCCAAGATCACGCTTGATTTTCGTAGACAAAAATCAACAAGCAAACAACTGCGGTTGATTTTGCAAGCTGTGGTATCGCAGCTCGGAATATCAAGCTAACAAAATTCACCAGCTGCAAACCTCAACAAACTCTGGTGGGATTGAGTTTAATGATTTTTGCTTTACATCCGAACGCAACTGAAACTTCCATAATGGCTGGCAGCAGTCACTTTGTGTCTGTCATCGGTGAGCAGTAAAAAGAGATAGCAAACTATACTTTCTTTTTCTAAGAAAACGATGTGCAAAAGAATCATTATTTTGTCGAGTCAACTTTCAGCTTGATTTTTGCACGTTGTAAATATTTAGTCTCACAATATCAAAGGAGCTTGTAAAATCAATATCAAGCATGATTTTTTGTTCCAATATCAAACGTGATATTTAGAGCGTATGAGAGGAAAAATATAATTTGATTGATGATTTTTCCAACACTGCATGAGCATCAGGAAAATGTTAGAACATTTTTATGGAGCTCCTTGATTAACATGGCAGTTTCAAGAAC